GCAGCAGTTCTACTGTATGAATATAACTAAACATTACATATTGTATAAAGTATGAATACCACAGAAAGAGAACTCCAGCCTGGCTTCAGGAGGAGCCGTATGACATCCATAAAAGGACTTAGAACCAGAAGCGTTGTAACGTTTAATCCAACAACTATTAGCCCAGGTGAAGAGCTGTACATTAACATCCCCAAATTAAAGCCTGACTCTTGTTTAGTTCCAGGATCACTTGCACTATTATTTGACTTCAAGAATTCAAATACAAAGAGCAGGTTCAATAACAACCTAGCCAAGTTGATAGCAAAACGTCTTCAGGTTAAAGTAGCAGGTGAAACAGCCTATGATTGTTCAGGAGAGAGTTTGTACGAAATATACAAAGATCTATGGCTAACACAAGGTGACAGAAATAAGATGACAGAACAGGGTCTTGCAAGTGAGAATCTCAGAAAGCTAATATCAGGTGATGACTCAGGAGTAAAGGTAGGTGATGCTAATAAAGTAGCAGATGCACTTCTCCATAGTGTGTACGGTTCTAAGCTAAGAAAACCAATTGATAAAATAATCGCAGACCATGGACTCTACACACCGTTCTCCATGAATAACAATCCTATGTACATCCTCACACTCCCGCAATCAGATGAGATTATGACTGCCCAAGGAGGTGAAGCTAAGGGTAATTATAAACTTGATAATCTTGAGTTAGAATACGAGACCATTGAGAATGACACCCTTGCGAGTGAAGTATCAAGGATGTATTCAACAGGCCGCTCACTGTCCTACAAACACGTTACACTTATGCGTACAAGTAATTGGGACAAGGATCTTACCATTGTTAATGAAAACATTAATATCCCCAGAAAGAGCATGTCAGCAATTGTCCTTCTATTTACCAGTAGAGTGAGAACTGATTCTGAAGAATATATTTACCCAAACATTGATAAAGTGAACCTAACTATTGAAGGTGTGCCTAATGCAGTTTTCTCCCAGGGACTTCCTAAAAGTAGGTTCTTCGAGGAGGCAAAACGATTCTTCTGCCCTATGTGTGAGAAATCCATGGCAGATGAATTTATGTCCATCAGCAAGTTTTTCAGCAACGGCTTCGCTCTAGTAATAGATTTAAGGTCAACACAGGATGACACCACTGGAGGAGGCAGAAAGATTGTTAACACACAGTCTGGAGTACTTATGGAAATCAAAAAGAGAGCCACAACAACAGACGTCCAGTGCAATATTTTTATTGTATCAGATGCTCTACTTAACTTTGCTAGTAGGGATCTATCAAGTATTCAATACTAGCTTGCACCAACGGTAAAGCATAGAGATGCAATTTAAACCACCATTTAATATGCTCATAGTAGGAATGACTGGAAGTGGTAAGACTCAGTTCTTACTTAATATGTTAGAAACAGAGTACAATAAAGTTTTTGATTACATTGTTATTATATGTCCAACCATAGAGTGGAATATGACTTACATTAACTGGTCCCATATAAGTGACCATGGAGTGATACAAATTCCATGCGAACAGGAAATGATCAATATAGTTCTAAAGGCAGTGTCCACCATATTCCGCGGTACGCAGACTCTCATTATAGTTGACGACTGTGCTGCAAGTAAAGATGTAAAGAAAAGAGTCTCAGAACTAGTGCGCCTGGCATTCTCCGCAAGACATTACAATATATCTGTCATTGTAATTACCCAGCAACTGTCATCAGTAGCAAAACCATTCAGGGAGAACATTTCTAGGTTAGTTACATTCTACAATCCTAGTCGCAAAGATATGAAGGTTATAACAGATGATTACCTAAGTGGTGTTCCTCAGGAGACAATTACAGAGATTACGAAGATATTAAAAAATGAGAAGTTCACCGCACTAGATATACTCCTTATTCACCCTTATACTTACACCATTAAACTAAACACCGCGTAGAATATAGAAGATGGGATCAGAATCTGACGAAGAAATATCCAAGGCTGTGAGAGAAGTAGAGGAGGCCGCAAAGGCGCCGCAAAGGAAAGCTAAGTCTACCGCAAGTAAGACGAAAACCACCGCAGATAAGTCGCAAACTGAACATAAAAGGAACAAGCTTATCGAGCTATCTAAGGATGGTGTAATTGATAAGACCGCAAGTTTCATAAGAAAGTCTAACAAAGATGTTGTAGATAGATTGTACCAGGAGTATGAGAGTCAGAGGATGTCATGCGCAAGTGACTTCTTATCAACACTTATAATCTCAAAGTTTGCTTCTATACTAGGAAGTTTTAATGCAGTGGAATCTTCTGAAAGGCTGTCAGAGGAACTACTTAGTGATAAGCTTTTAAAGGATGACGTATGTTATTTAACTAGAATGATATCCCCAAACATTCCATTCATAGGTTTGGTATCAGGTGGTTGTACAACAGCAAAGCATGTGGTAGCACATAAGTGGAAGAAGAAGGAAAAACCTGAGGAAATATCTGAGGAGGCAAAACATATCCTATTACATAGTGAAGAAGAATGTCAGACCACGAGCGGGAAAACGCCTGGGAAGGAACAGAATTCGAATCCATAATCAACGAGTTAATTGAGAAAAATAATACAAGCGCGGAAAGGATAGATAGGATTGAGAAGAAAGTCGACGCAATCGAGAGGGACCTGTACTCACTTAAGTTTAAGGTAATGGAACCATTACAGCACGACTTTTACACATTTAGAGATGACACAGTTAAAACAGTTGTAAAGATATACAAAAAGTTACATGAAATGTAATATTTTATTTGCTAAGGGATGTATACGGTTACGGGGCAGCTGGGTGGGCCAGTGGGAACGCTGCCATATGGGGTCCCTCAAGGGACCCCATTATTATTGTCACTAAAAATAACTTAAATACCATATAAAATAGTCCAGAAAATTTTACATATATTATATAGAGAAAGATGGAAAAACTATTCAAAAACCGAGAGTTGAATGCTAGTGTAAGAATTGTGAAAAGTGGCGAGGATGTACTGTTCTACGCAAGAGATGTGGCAGAATCACTAGGGTACGCCGATCCTAAAAAAGCAGTCCAGAAACTAGTTAGAAAGCAAAATAAGGCAAGCGTATACGAGCTATGCAAGGGGGGCGATTCGCCCCCCTTTGAAAAGTGTCACCCACAGACAATCTTACTTTTTGAACCTGGCTTGTACCAGCTAATATGTAGCTCAAGACTTCCAATAGCGGAGGACTTTCAGGACTGGGTGTTTAGAGAAGTCCTCCCATCTATCCGGAAAACGGGATCATATAATTTACCAGATAGGAGGTCACTTAAATACAACCAAATGATTCTCATAAATGAGACGGACCTCCATTACGCAGTTGTGAGCTACATCAGGGACAACTACCCAGAGGCCGTAATAATACCTGGTCTAGGTGAGTATCAGGATACAGTGTCGAAGAGGTGTGATGCCTGGAAGAAGGGATATAGGAGTGGTCAACCTGATCTTATCATAGAGAATCCTAAAGGAAAGTACAGAGGATTTGCTATTGAATTTAAGTCTCCAAAGGGAACAGGAGTTTTAAGTGAGAGGCAGCAACTGTGGCTTGTAAGACTAAGGAGTATGGGATATGATACACTAGTGTCAGATGATATAGTGAAAACTTGTATCAGAATCAACGAGTATTTTGGCATAGCCGATACTGACGTAGTCGGTACTTCCTCACTTAGGAAACCAAGAAAAGTTGCAACGAAAAATCCTATATGCAGCGTAAAGACTTACAGACCAAGGTTTAGTTCAGGTAAGTACTAAGTATATCCAAGTTATCTTACCAGTTATCTCACCAGTAGATTTAAGTTATCTCACAAGTAAATTCGAGACATCTCACAAGTAAATTTAAGTTATCTCACAAGTAGAACTTAAGATACCTCATAAGACTAAACCCAGTTAAACCTAAGGTATCTTACAAGTAGAATGGAAGATAAACCTGAGCAAACTCAAGTACCGACTACGTCAGTAGCGGCTACGCAGGGTACCCGAGTACAAGTAACAAGCGAGAAGAAGAAGGACCCGAAGAGAGTAGCCGCAGGAAAACGGTTAGCCGCTATCAGCAAAATAGCAAAGGAGAGGAAAAAGAAACTTGCGGAACCTAAGGAGTCATCTAATAATGACAGTATGATTACCTACATAGGAGTAGCCATTGCACTAGCATCCTTAGTGCTAGCATATAAGTCACATCAAGGAGAAACCAGGAAACCGGAACCCCAGCACACCCCTGAGACTGTGAAAGTAACCAGGAAAGTTGACGAGTCAAAGTTAGATTCACTTGAATGATGCATTAAACATAATATATATTATAGCAAGATGAGTAAAGAATCAAAGATGACTATGGACGTGTACAACGCAGTGTTGCTCACAGCAGGAGCAGTTGGTATTTCAATGGCATCGAAGACAAGGGCGGATCTAGGATTTTTCGCACGTTAGTCAAAAATCTATGACGTCATCGATGACGCAAAACGTGATGACGTCATTTGCCATGACGTCATTCGATGTCACGATGATAGTCCAATTTTCGTGGGAGTAAAGATCTTTTA